AACATAAGATATAGTTTTGTTGTAAAAATTTCTTAGAATGGATTAAGAATCTATTTTCATCTCTAATTATAAATTTTCAAAATGGCTCAAATCAAGTAGATCTATAAACATATGAAAATTTGAAAAATGGACGGTTTATATAATGTGATGCAAGATGTACTATTTTTGAGACTTGAAATCTTTTTTTTCCCGTCATATTTATGTATCTCGATGCTGAGATGATTGATCAATCAGAGAGTTTTCCCACATCAAAACAACCTTCAAAACAACCTGTTATAACAGAGTTTTTAGGTCTGCCTTATTTCTATATTTCAGGGTTGCAACCATGTATAAACTTTTTTTTATATATACAGGGTGAGATTGTATACGGTGTCAACCTTATAAAGTAGGTAGGTGCATCTCAACACTATGTCAGAAGATGTAGCTTCAGTGTTGGAAAGCTTTACGATGATATGAAAATCTATTGTCATTTTTAATTATGAAATTTAAAGTTAAAAAAAATGACATGGATAGAAATTATTATAAAACTAAAAAACTTTCAAAATAGATAGTCGTGATAGTTACAAAAAGTACTATTTTTATGGTTTGGAATATACATTTTTAGGTTGAGATGATCAATTTGAGGGTTTTGATCATTGCAACAAATGTTTCTAATGGGCTAATGGGCTTTTGCAATGCGCTGTACTCTTGAGTAGCATGGTTTACATTTACACAACCAAAGTTGAAACCATGGTCCTCTTTCCTCAAAAATCTACTGGGCCTCAGTCCCTTCGACCAACAGTCTAGGGATCAGAAACGAGGTCCCTTCATAACCATCTACGTTAAAAATTAAGCCAAAAGATTATATGAACCTGAAGGTGCACGTCATCCATTCACTCATTAGAGGTAAAACCTTATGCAATAGTACTTTCAGGGCCTTAAATTTTGGGGAAGTAATCTTTCTAATATTGTTGTTAACCGGATTTAGAAAGTAAAATTGAACCCACGTTTCTCTAATTTTTTTGATAGTCGTTTCTAAACATTTAAAATTTCAAAATCTCTTTGTCGGGAAAATACCATCTGGTGCATGTTCTGGATAAAATAACTGGCCGAAAAAGCTTTTTCATCGAGAGACAAATGCGCAGTATGCTCACACGGAAGTGCTCCCGCAAGAACTCACAAAAAAAAACCCTCTATCCAAGGATAGACTTTACATGCAAATCCACTTTTCAAACAAGTCGCAACCCCAATTTTGGAAAGATCCATTAGGAAAAAGTTAAAATTAAAGAACAAAGCAAATCTAACATATTGTACATGTATCCATTTAGGAAGTAGCTTTTATTTATGGATTAAAATAAGAGAATATCTTCATATCTCTTATTTTTAGGTTATATTTCTTCATAAACTCAATATTTCAAAATGTATTTTCTAACCCTTTAGCCACTTTAAACCTATTTTTTAACTTAAACAAATGTGAGAAAGACATACTCTTTTTAAACCCAATCCTTTCTTTCTCTTTAATTATATATTTAAAACTTCTCTTTCTCTCTCTCTACGCCCGTGTTTCTCTAAACACCTCTCTCTTCTCGGCAACGTTTCACCTCCATGAATCCCTTCTCTATCTCTAGAAGTTTGAAAAGATATCTTTTAGAAAAAGTATGTATTTTTAGATTTGTTTGGCTTAAAAAAACATGTTTAAATTAGCTCATGGGGTTAGAAAAAATAAAATCTACAATTTTTATGCTCAAGATATCTTTTAAAACTTTGAGTCTATTGTGAATGAAACTTAAAACTAAGGGGTCTAGAGATATTTTCCGGTATTCATATATATGAGTATTTTATTAAGGTACAAAACATTATTTGACACTTGATACACTTACATGTGTAGCTTTTTTATCTAGGGGTATTTTAAGTAATTAATTAAGG